TTCTGCTACTGGCAACCAGAGCTGTCCATACACTTTTGGAAGCACATCTTCCTACCAGGTGTTCTAGAGATGCTGTACGTGGAGTTACTGTACCTGTTTGACTGGCTGGGCTTTGGTCTTGTGTTGACCCTATTTCAATTCTGTTCCTTCATTCTGTACCATTATTCCTCATTTCAGGATAGGAATGTTTACTCTGTGCCACTGTCTATTGGATATAAGTAACTTGCTTTTGGTTTCTACAGGGACTCACAGCAAAGACTTTGCTTTGAGACTCAAGATGAGATTTTTGACTTGGATTTGGGGTAATGCTAAAACTATAAAGACTATGGGACTCTTGGAGATAAATAAATTTTATATTGTGAGATAGACATAAATTTGGGRGGAAAGGGGCCAAATCTTATGGTTTAGATATAAGGTCTTCCGTCCCAAAGCCCTTGTGTTAATAAAGGAGTATTTGGAAGTGAAATGACTAGATTGTGAGAGCTACAACACAATCAAACCACCCTAGCTTGCATGGATTGACTGAGAGATAACTGTAAGCAGGTAGGGCATAGCTGGAGGAAGTGGGTCACTCAAGCTGTGCCCTGGTGTCGGGTTTCTGTTTTCACAACTAAAAGGCTCAGGGTTTACTCCAGTTGAACTGGGCTAACTGGGCTGCACAAAATAACCCACAAGAGACACAAATACCTTTTTCTTTGGGGTCTCTGTGACGGCTCCGCTGACCTTAAGGGTCCGCAGGAAGAGAGAGAGAGAGAGAGAGAGAGAGAGAGAGAGAGAGAGAGCACAAGTGCTGACCCCTTTTTTTGAGGAGAATCTGTTCAAATGAGGCAAGGGGTCAGGTTTCAGGGGGCTGAGTCTGTCTTCATGATGTCCACTGTCAGCAGGTTGACTGACACCTGGGTAGGCCACACCCAGGGGCACAGTAAGAGAAGGGGACATACACAAGGCACTTCCATGGAAGATTCTATCCTAAACAGGGCAAGGGGGTATATTATAAAGGAACAGGTGAGCGTAGCTTCACCCACGGGGCAAGACACACCCATGCACGAGACACGGACTCTCGAACCCAAGAAGGGTGGGGAAAGCTCTGTCACATTTCTGCAACTGAGGGCCTCAGCATGCAGCTGGGGAGTGTGACCCAGTCACATGCAAGGTTGGTCTCCCACACCCTGAAAGTATTTATTCTTCCTGGGGCCCTTTCCTTTCTCTCTGCTTCCTTGCTGCCATGAAGGGAGGGTTTCTCTTTGCTGTGCTCCTCCCCCGCGATGTTCTGCCTCACTATGAGCCCAGAGTGAAGGAGTCAGCTGTCTATGAACTGAGACCTCTGAAACCTTGAGCCCCAAATAAACTTTTTCTCCTCTAAATTGTTCTTTGGGGGTTCTTTTGATGACACTTATGAAAAAGCTGATGGGCGAAAATGGACTTGGTTCAATGGCTGGAGATACTCTACCAAGGGAGCTTACATAGATTCTAGTGGAATCTACAAGTCAATTTTTCCATTTTCTTATTGGGATTATCATTCATCTGAATCATCCATTGAAGAAAAATTTTGCATTTCTTATTATTGTTTAATCATGACTAATATGATAACACTAAGCCACTGTTTCATAGAGATAAGGAAGATTCCACCAGGAATACAAGAGATCCCTTAGGGTTGTCTTAGTGTTATCATTCCCAGTGAAAGTTGAATGGGAAACTATGACAACTCAGTAAAGAAAGGCTAGTAATGTTCTTGGCCCTTCAGGAATGGAGATTTAGATCACCCCTACATGTTAAGAACTATAAACAAATGAAATGTTCACTGAAGGAAGGAAAATAAGAGAATGGGTAGTAGAACTAGGCACTTAGAACACCAGTAACATTCCCATGAGAAGTTAAAATTAAGAATACAGTTAGGAGTATTTCTTCTTACGTTGCTTATGAGCATATGTGTGCTGTTTGAAATATATTTATTTTCCCCTCTCTCTTATCCCATTATCATGAATCACTTGACGTGTTCACTTTAGTTCATAGTATTTAAGTACAATGTTATTACATTTACATAACAGTTATGGGATATCAACAGTAAGTGTAAACATCATCCAAATTGTTGGCCTCCTGTGGTGAGGAGAGATCAGTATGTGTTTGCTTATACTCAGGACATTACATTACGTTAGGTGGACGAATTGCCTTGTTATTGCCTTATTTGGAGGTAAAGTATGTTTTAAAGAAATGTGTATCAGTGCCAAGTCAACAAATGTAGGACTTGTGATGATTAATTTTAATTCATCAACCTAGGAAGTGTTTTGAGATGATATTAACATTTAAGCCAGTGAAACTTGGGTTGGGCAAAGTATGGATGAGTCTCATCCAACGACTGAGGATCTCAACGTAACATAACCACTTGCTTCCTGAATTACAGGGAATTCTCCAACGACTACCTTTAGAGTGATTGCACCATCAGCTCTGTGGAAGTCTTCTTGAGGCTTCAGTCCTGAAATACACAATTAGTTCTATTAAGTCTTTCTTTGCTGGCCAATACTGCAGACCTGGATCTGCCAGTCTCCATAATTGTAAGAATGAATTCCTCATAAAGTATCTCTCTCTCTCTCTCTCTCTCTCTCTCTCTCTCTTCTCTCTCTATTTCACACACACACACACACACACACACACACACACACACACACACACCTCTCTGTTTCTATGGAGAACATTAACTAATAAAACTACTGGGAAAATTAACACATGAATGATATAGGAATCAAAAGGTGCGTGACAAAAGGAATTCACACAAAAGTAAGTTGTATCGAACATTTTAGGAGCAAGAACATACGATAGATCAAAAACAGAAAAACTACAGCAGTGCTTATCATTTATTACTGAACTATAAGTAAATGAAACTTTTCAATAAGGTAGACAATGGAAGAATGGATTTGAAAAGATGATTAAACTGCAATATTTACAAAAGAGCTGCTTATATACAAAGACACAAATAGCATGCAAATGAAAGATGGAAAAATATTCATTCATTATCTGCTCCTAGAAAACAAAAGAAGTTATTATTTGATAAAATAGGCTTTAAGAAAAAATATTTTAGAAGAGAAAAATAAACAATATATCTGGAGGCACCAGTTATTGAAGAAAATATTATTAAAAACAAATGTAATGGACATTATTACCCTARGTCCATGTATGACTGCACATGTGGTGCAATGCTACATTGTGTATAATCAGAGAAATGAAAAGTTGTGCTGCAATTGTGTATAATGAATAAAAATGCATTCTGCTGTCATATATACCTAATTAAAATAAATTAATTAATTTTAAAAATAGTCATCTATCAACTGGTTCTCAAAATATACGGAGAAATGTAAACAAAATTAAAAGGAGATCTAGACCATTTCTATAGTAATAAACTTTACTATGTGACTTTTAATAATGAATAAAATAGCTAGAAAGAGGATCAAGATGAAATAGAGAATATGAGTAACATCATAATCCAAAAAGGCTTAGCAGACATACAGTCTTCTGTCCAAGAACTGCTTATTCTGAGTTGCACGTGAAACATTCCCTAGGGCAAACTATATCTTAGGCTAAAAATATATTCTCAATAAACATAGGAAGATTTAAATCACAGAAAACATCTTCACCCGCCACAATGCAATTGAAGTAAAAATCAATAACAAGAAAAATTTTAGTATTCCCACATGTAAGAATACATTATAATCAATGAGTAAAAAATGGAGGGAAAAAAWTATAAAATAATTTGAGACAAACAGAAGCAAAACAACAAAAAAGTAGATTTTGGCAGAAGCAGAAATTTGTCATTGTAAGGGTCTATGTTAAAATTAGAGTGATCTCAAAAAAATAAGCTGACTTCAAAGTTGAAGAAAATATTATTATAAAGTGAAAGCTTAAACTGAAAGTAGCGAAGAAAGAAAATAAAGATTAGATCAGAGTAAATAAATAAGATGTAAAATAAGAATAGGTATAATCAATAAAACCAAATATTGATTGTGTGGACAAAAATGACAAAACTTTGAAGACTATGAAAAAAGAGAGAAAATTCAGATTAACAAAGTCATAAATAAAACTGAGAATATAACCTCTGACCTTATATATCCAAGAGCCTAGTGAATTTTGTGAATAGCTCTATAACAATATATTGKAAAACACTGAAAAATACAGATTCCTGAAAATACCCACACAAGCAAAATAGACTATAATAAAGAATTCTGAATATACTTATAAAAACTGCAAATAATCAAATAGTAAAAAATAATAATCCAACAAAGCAAACCCCAGGAGCAGATAGTTTCTATTTGCATTCTCCAAAACTAACATATAATTGTAATGTATCATAATTACATGGAAGAGACTACATTTTTTGGCTGTTTTCCTTGGTTGCTACAACTGTATTGCATATATGAAGTTTAGACAGCACATATGAATTCTTTCACAGAAACCAGAAGCTTGAAACCATCTTCCTGAGCTCTGACCAGTGTGTCATCAGAGTCCTGGTCTCTACATCATCTCTAGGTGAATCTCCCACATTCACACCTTCCACCTTGAGGTGGCGGCCACCATCAATGGTAACATCCCCTGCATCCAGGGTCTTGTTGCCAACTCCCTTTTTTCTGTGGTCATGTTTTTCTGACTTTCTTTCATAATATGAATGGGATTGGCTTTAAGGCATGCATGGTTAATTTCAATGGCTTCTCAGTCCTAAAAGTCTCAGTTAATCATACCTGCAGAGTTAGTTCCTGTGTGCCAGGTAGAATAACCGAAAAAGTTTTAGAAAATAGCACTTTACTAATTATAGGGCCAATATGGAGCTTTGGAGCTTGTCAGTGTTCGATATGCCAGTCACACTATGCATTGTGTTTGAATTTTTGCACCAATGCATAATAATTTCAAAATTAAAAACCATGAAATAGGTGCCACATCACATGGAAAAGATCATAAAGAAATGAGTTCAGGTACTATACATCTCAAAAAAGTTAAAAGCAGAATCATAAAGATTATTTTGCTTTTAAAACCGTCTTTGTGAATGCGCTCTTGACCTCCTTGTTCCTCAGGCTGTAGACCATAGGGTTCAGCATGGGGATGACCATAGTATAGAACACAGATATGATTTTGTCAGTGTCCATGGAGTGACTGGAGCTGGGCTGTAAGTACATGAAGATTAGAGTCCCATAGAAAATGGAGACTGCTGTGAAGTGGGAGGCACAGGTGGATATAGCCTTCCTATGTCCTGTATCTGAGCGCATCTTCAGGATTGTGATGAAAATGAATATGTAGGATATTACGATAACGACAACACCAAAAAAGATATTGAAGCTGGCTACATAAATAAGAACCAGCTCATTAACATGTCTCTCCGAGCAGGAAAGAACCATGACTGCTGGAATTTCACAGAAAAAGTGATGGACCACATTGGAAAGACAGAACACAAGACTGAATGTGTTACCAGTGTGGATAGAGGCATTCAGGAAACCAATGACATAACAGCCTAAGATCAGCCACATACACATACTTGTTGTCATGGTGGTGGTGTAGTGCAGGGGCTTGCACACTGCTGCATAGCGATCATAGGCCATTGAGCACAAGAGGAAATTTTCAACAGTAGCTGAGACCACAAAAAAGAACATCTGAGCAGCGCAAGCATTGTAGGAGATGACCTTGTCTCCAAGAAGGAGCCCAGCCATGACCTTGGGAGTGACAGCTGAAGAGTAGCAAAAGTCCACCAGAGACAGGTTGCCCAGGAAAAAGTACATGGGACTGTGGAGACGGGAGTCCAAGACAATCAACAGGATCATCCCCAGGTTCCCAGCCAGAGTGATGGTGTAGATGAGGAGGAAGGTCACAAAGAGAGGGACTTGTAGATCTGGGTCATTGGTCAGTCCCAGCAGGATGAAGTGTGTCACTTCTGTCCTATTCTCCATCTATGTTATCTGAAGAAGACTGTGATATTCTACAGAATGAGAAAATGAAAAGAATTATAAGAAAATTATATTGAACTTGGGAAGTATGCATATCCTATATAGTCTTTCAAAAACTTGCATGCTAAAAATTCTTCAGGAAAAGCATTGAACTTAAAACTGTGTTTGGGAAAAAAAAACGTGTTTGGTGTACAAGTTATATATATATAATTATGTATGACAAATTATATATARTTGTAACAGGCTTACAGACTGTCAAATTGAGGAACGTTAATGAATTACGAACATAATTTAAAAATTTTATGCTATTTAAACTGTGATTAGATAATTACTACCCTTTGGAAAATAACATAAGGGTAGGTACATCTCTCCAACCATGTACTTCTGCTGAGCTGTCAAAGTTGGCCCTTCCATGTTGCTCACTGACCTACAACTGCTCTAGACATATCAGATGTGTATTCATTGTTTCCTCTCAATAATATTAGGAGTTTGGTTGGTTGCAATATTCATGCAAATTATGAAGCAAGAGAGGCTTGGAAATCTCTTCATTTATTTGTAAACAAGTATTACCTGGCAATTTCTGTTCTGGAAASCTTTAACTCATTGTGAGTGGTCCCTGAGCTTAATGGTCTAGTCTGAATTTAGACCAATGTAAATTTTACTCAGTACCTTGTCACCTTTAGTTCCAACACTGTGTTTGGGACATCACAGAGAACTGGGTGAGTGAATGATTAGGGGATCATTTCCTCTCCTTCAGTATATGTTTGCCTCTAGTTAGAGGTAAAAGAAGCAAAAAATCATCCATAASAGTGTGGTGATCCATCTTTCAATGATGAATGGATCCTAAATGGAACAGCAATCTCTGAAGGGCATGTAAACTTTTTCCAGCACCCTCCTGCTTGTTTTTACCAACATGTCTACACATGTTGATGACTAACGAGATAACTTTTTAATTAGGTTCAAGAGGGATTTAAATCTGGAWTCTCCACAGATTATCCCTGATAATAGGGATCACAGCTCTAGAAGAACTCTATTCAGCATGCAGAAGTGATTTTGTGAGAAGCCATGTCATCAGATTTAGCAGACATAGAGTTTGGGTTCTAGTGAGAAACTCACATCGAACCTACCATTAACCACTAAGAATCACCAATCCTAACACAACTATCCTGAGCACATTATGTCCATCTGCATAGTGAAAATCATAAGGAGGACTATTATGAGGTATCATGGTGGGAATCAAATAAGATATGCAGAAAAGACAACAAAATACGGGGTGTAATCACAGCCTGTTGAGTGTAGCTATCACGTTCTTATTAGGATGGGATCATGGTCTTTATCTGGATTGATGGAGGGCATGCTCACATGCAGACTTCAGTTGTGGGTGAGTTTGAAGTTTTGAAGCTTCTCTCCCCAAATAGCATTTCTCCCACACTAAGTCCACTGACATTTTGTGGTCTCTCCACTGTCATTCTGTCCTTGCCCCAAGCATGTGACTGATGCTCCTGTAATTTCAATGGGCCACACTCTTAAAATTTCAACAGATGAATAGATAAAAAAATATGATGTGTGTGTGTGTGTGTGTGTATAAATGAATATTACTCAGCCTTAAAAAACAATGAAATTATGGCATTTGCTAGTAAACAGATGGAGTTGGAAAATATCATGCTAAGTGAAATGAGCCARTCCCCCAAAAGCCAAAAGCAAAATGTTTTCTCTGATAATGTGGATGCTAATTCACCATGGTTGGGGCGGGGGAACTAAGGAAGAATAGAGTTACTTTAGATCAGGTAGAGGGGAGTGAAGGGAAAGGTGGGGTATGGGGATAGGAAGGACAGTAGAATGAATCAGACATTATTACCCTATGTAAATATATAACTATATGACCAGTGTGATTCTATATCATGTGCAATCAGAAGAATGAGAAATTACACTCCATTATATATAATCTATCAAAGTGCATACTACTGTCTGTATAGCTAATTAAAACAAATTTTAAAAAATCTTCCTTAAAATGCATATATTTTATTTGAATAGAAGAATCCATTTTTCTTTACAACAACAACAAATATTCTTTCTCTCCTACTGTCATTCCATAGACAAAGCTCAGAAACCCAGGGTTAAAAGCTTCCAGTTTATGGGCTGTCTTTAGCTTTTTCTGTATGTTTCCTTTCCTGTAATATCATATTTCAAATTTTCTTTGTAGTCACATTTATTTTTTAAAAAATTTTCATTGAGCCTTTGGAAGAATTTCTACCCCAAAATAATTATTGTTCCCTAAYATCACATCTCCTAGGACTTTGACTTCTTCACTTTATGTGCCTGCCTCCTGTGAAGTCATTGTGTTGGTCTAACATAACACACATCACCTTAACCAACATATATTTCCACAAGAAATTATAAGGGCTTTAGGCRTTCATGTGTGTGTAAGGTAGACAGCATAGTATTTTTAYATAGTCTTTTAGAAAATYGAGGATTTGAGAAGTTTCTGATCTTCCAAAATYATATAGYTAGAATGAGAAAGTCTCAAAATGAAACATTTAACGTCATCTTCTCCAGAATCTAAATGAATGCTTTCAGCTCCCTCATTGTCAAAGTGTATGGAAGTTCTAGTAATGATGAGCAGRAGCCTGCAGGCAGGTGAGAGAGAGCAATTCAGAGCTTCTTAATCCYGAGGACCCCTTTCTAGTTTAAAGAAGGATCGTTTCACTCTTCTAGGATTTTTTAGGGGGAGGGGTTGTTTGTTTGTTTGGCCTATAATGAGTCATAAATGCATAGTGAACAAGACGAARTCACCTGCTAAACAATGAGAGAATCTTCTTTTTTATATTTTCATGTGTATTTTTGTAAAAGTAAGCATGATGTGTCATGAGAATCACTAAATTAATTGTAACAGGCATTTTGACATTTATATCCCAGAGTCTTCTCAGTTTTTCAGAAAAGTGTTGAATTCRTTCCTTTCTCTTTTAAAATAACTCTCAGGTATTATGGCCACCCCACTGTTGTTGTTGGGGTTTTTTTTTGCATAAATTACACTTCTTATTAAGAATATTTAAGGAATACAGGGCTTACCAGTTTGGTGTAGGAGGGAAAAAAACTCTCAATTCAGAATAGTCAGTCAGAAATCATACAATCCACCACGGAGTACTGCATATATTCTGTGAGTGGGTCTCTCCCAGGCAGTAGTCAAAACTTTCCAAGTTGTCCCAGGCACGCAGAAATGCAGGACAGTACACAAACATGGGTAAAGTTCCAAATTTATCATTAATTCTTTCTGTTTCATTGAAGAATCTCCTTTCTCCTCCTTATTTGTAAAATAAGCCTGATAAGATTATATCTTCCACATAATTCATGGACTGTGTCCATAAACAACAAGAAGCCAGGTCTCTAATACATCTTGGGATGAACTTATGGCTTAAAAGACAAACAATGGGACRATTGTCTTTGTGTGATTCCCTGACCCTGTTTGAAGGCTCATAGCAAGTCCTCATGTCAGAAGGCCTGTGTGTCCTCAGGACAATCATTCAGATTAATAAACAATGACCAATGAAGCATTGGCATGTCATGTGTTCCTTCAAAAACAATGTGACATTGCGTCCTCTACATTTTTTTTTTCTTTTGAGAATAATACGTAGAGATGTGGAGAGAATTATATAGACTTGGAGATCTGTGGCGTTTTTACCTGWGAGACTCTCTGCAGTTCCTCTTTCTATTTTCTGGGAAACAAGCAATTAAACTACCTGTGGGAATCAATAGGCTACCATAATATGCACAGGTTTTTTTTATTGCCTTTTTGTTTTTCAAAAGTTCTAGTTATTGCAAAATTCATATACAGTAAAATACACATTTTATAGTATGTAGTTCTAAGGACTTTGTCAAACGCATGGCCCTGTAACCACTCGCACAATCATGTAAAGCTTTTCATTTGAGCTTCWATTGGATAACTTGCCCATGTCAACTGTTTTCATCCAATTGGTTTTGTCTTTGGTAGAATATCTCTAGCTATTACTATGGAGTACTGGAATACGTTGCCTTTGAATTCCACATTTTTACTTAGTATTTGAAGTCTATTCCTATTTTCAACTGTATCATTGTGGAAACTTACGTATCAAAGATTAGTAAGTCTATACATTAATTCCATTCTGTAAGGAACATTTGCCTTTGCCTTAGTCTTTGATTATTACATCTTAGACTGGTCTAGACAGCTGTTTCAACGTTTTTTGTGTGAGTGAATATCAGCTTTACAGCACATGTGTAAATATAAAGGAGTCTGATTGATTTGTGAAAGGATAAGTACTTCTTGATTGAATAAAAAATTTTGAAACTATTTTCTGAAAGTCTCTTCTCCTTTGAACTCATAGCATGTATACATAAATATCATTTATATACAAGCAATCTATTTGTGTTGTTTCACATTTTTTATTTGGTGTTTAAGTTTTTGAATTATTTTCTTATATACTTTCATTTTTGGTATTCTTTAATACACCTATAGAAATTTCTTTAGCAAAATTTATTTTTCTTCTTAAACAGCCACTGAGATGAGAGATGAATGTGAATTACATGGGGCGTCTAGATGCAAGCTACCATTTCCTTATATGACAGAACTGAAGTAAAAGGTAGTTTGGAGCATACCAAGGGCTTGTTACACCACAGAAATACCCCAAAGAAAGCGAAACCTCTCTGACTCTAAAGGCTGGTTCCTGTGAATTTTTCTAATATTTTTGGAATTTTATAGTATTTTTAGAAAATTAGTGATTAGTGAATCAGGAACAAAATCGTGTCACTTACTGATAAATGGATGAAACTGAAAACCAATGTGCTAAGTGAAATTAGCCAGCCATAGAAAATGTCAAATGCTTTTTCTCATAGGTGGACAAACAGAAAGTGATATCATAAAAACAGAAGGTATACTTACAGAGTAGAGAAGGGATTGGGAAGGTATGTGGGGAGGACATAAGGGAGCACTCAGGAATGAAATCTATCGAATTAGGCTATGTTCATGCCTGATC